GTTATCAGACCAAAAGCAGATCCAATGGTCACTGAACTCCTCGGGCCACATGTGAACTGCTACTACAATGGGGAAAACTCAAGAAAAGTTATGTCACATGATTGCCTCACCACACCGGGCTTGAGGCCATAGCTTTGCACACCAGCATCCCTTGAAATAAAAACCAAAGGGCAAAGATCCAGCAGCACCAGCATGAACCTGAAAATCCCTGTGCGGGTTCAAGGTATCCTGCCATGGCGAACTCCAGAGAAGCGGACACGGAGCAATGGATCCAAACTACAAGAAAGAAGATTCCACCTAAACATAAGGAAGAACTTCCTGACAGTAAGAGCTGTTCGACAGTGGAATTTGCTGCCAAGGAGTGTGGTGGAGTCTCCTTCTTTGGAGGTCTTTAAGCAGAGGCTTGACAACCATATGTCAGGAGTGCTCTGATGGTGTTTCCTGCTTGGCAGGGGGTTGGACTCGATGGCCCTTGTGGTCTCTTCCAACTCTGTGATTCTATGATTCTATGATTCTACTATTGCATACATTCAGGAATTGCTACCATCGCCTGATATCTGCCTTCACCACACTTGGTAGGCGTACACAAAGGTAAGGGGACCTCAGGCCGCAGGCAGCCTGGCCTAGTGGGAAGATTAATTAAGAGACCCAGCAAGATCGGATCTGATGAAGCATCACTTGCTACAGAGGAAGTATTACAAAATAACTTCCTTCAAGGCAGACAGCTTCTCCATAGGCAAGTGGTATGTTTTAGCAACGATATCCAACTGGATCCCTAAATAAAATGGGAATATGGGCAAAAGGTATTGAGCTATTGCTTGCCAGCTTCCAGCCCCCGCTTGGGCAGGGGGCATCTTGTGCTGCCATCATGATATGTAAATTTACAGGGCCGAGGCTGGCCAGAACCCTTAAAGAAGTCCCGACAAAGCTGCCGCCGAGCCAGCTTCCTTTTCAGACACACACTCTGTGCAATGCAAAAACACACTCCATGCAGTGCACACACACTCCATGCAATGCAACTACACACTCCGTGCAATGCAACTACACACTCCGTGCAATGCAACTACACACTCCGTGCACTGCACACACAAACCCTCCGTGCAATGCAACTACACACTCCGTTCAATGCAAAACACACTCCCTGCAATGCAACTACACTCCATGCAATGCAACTACACTCCATGCAATGCAACTACACACTCCGTGCAATGCAACTACACACTCCGTGCACTACACACCCTCCGTTCAATGCAACTACACCCTCCGTTCAATGCACACACACTCCGTGCAATGCAAAAAACACTCTGTGCAATGCAACTACACCCTCCATGCAATGCATACACACACACTCCGTGCAATGCAACTACACACTCCGTGCAATGCAACCACACCTTCCGTACAATGCAACAACACCCTCCGTGCAATGCAACTACACCCTCCGTGCAATGCACACACACCCTCCATGCAATGCACACACGCTCCATGCAATGCAACTGCAAATCTCTCATGCAATGCAATGCAATTGCAGCCCGTGCAGCGCCGTGCCCTGCAACACACAAACTGCAATGCGGGCACGCAAAGGTGCTTTCTCCCGCTTGCATATTGCAAACGTGGCGCCCGTTACATCCCTCGCAGTGAGGTAACCACCAAAAGGACTTAAGTGTCCAGGTAGAGCAATGGGGAGCATGCAGCTGTCCCATACAGGGACCAATCCTGCAACCCAGGCATTACCAGCACTATGCGCTGACCCAGTGAAACCAATGCTTCATGGACCACATGGGGACACTATTCAGGCCGGAAACGCTTCCAGGCCATTGAATTCTAGGGCAAAGCCCTAGGATCACCTGCTAGGCCAGGCATAAATGTTTCCAGTGAAATAGCAGAGTTGAGGTAGCCCACAGCTTGTCCAGGTACCCCTGCTTGCCCTTTTAGAGGGAAGCACCCCTTCAAGAAACCCAAAGTTCTTTTATCACAAACGGGCCTAACTACCCAGCAACAGAATAGCCCAAAAGGAGCAGTTTGTTTTGTTTTGTTATAACAATGGCTAAGAGGGGGATATGAACCCTGTCTCCCAGGTCCTAGTCCTACACTTTAGCCACTAAGCCACAATGGCTCATCTCTAAAATGGCAGTCGCCACTATCAGGGCAAAACAAACTTAAAGAAAATAAACTTGTTCAGAAACAGCATAGTTCAAGAGCATACACAGAGTGCTCATAGTCCTTGGAGGCACAGAGAGCCTCTGGGGCCCTCTGTCTGCCTCAGATATACATTAGCAGCAACTGGGCCTGCAAGCAGATACATTCCTATAGCGAGAATGAGTCACGTGTCAGAGACTTAACAATTAAGTGCTACCTGTAGCAGACTTAGGCTTGGAAGTTATGTGCAGGCCGAATAGGCCTCCCTGCTTCTGCTCTTGAGAATCTTAGTCTCATAGCAATATTAAAGGAACTCAAATTAGTGCTCCCACCCAAGGCTAGCTTAAAATTTGGCCAACAGCACTGCACACACTCAAAATTAAGCCAACCTTTGGGGATACTATAAACGAAAGTGATTCCAGCTAAGCTGGGAACAGCCCTGACTAGCCCCACAATTTCAACTAGAGAAATGGGGCAAACCTTTTTGCTAAAGAAAGCCCCTAACGGGGGCTCTCTCCCTATTGGGAAAGGCAAGCCACAGTTACAGGGAGAATCTTCCCACAGGGCAGGGTAAGGGGTGGGGTGGGAAATCGAACAGGAAAAGGGGGGAATTAAATTATTTAAGGGACTAGAGAGGATTAAAAGAAAGGGGAAATAAAGAAATAAAGAAATGTAACCAGACAATGAGAAGATTGTCCAAGCGCTCCATGTGATCCGGTGCAAAACGGCCAAGAGGACGTCCAACGTCTGGCCCCTGTATTTAAAGACTCTGACCCCTCCTCCAAATTGGCAACAATCAAAACTCCCCAGCAACCCAATTTTAACCACTTAAAGGCTTGGGTTCCTCACAAAATCTGCCCAGTAACGGCAGGGTGGCTTGTTCCCCCAACCGCAACACGTGCTCTCTGTTAGGGAGAACACGCTTTCCAGCATAGCTGTTGCTCTTCATCAAAGGAATGATTGCAAATGTAAATTAATTATGCTTAACAATCTGGAAAAGCATATCAGTGCTCTAATTTATTATGTTTTTATTATGGTAAATTGCAATTGTTCAAGAATATCTGTCAATATATAAAAGAGGCCAGTCCCTTGCTTAAAAATCAATGCAAGTTTACGAAGCCGTTGAATAAGGTATTTTAATAATCTAGCACCACGGTTCTGAGCCCTTTGGACCAAAGAGGAGCCACAGAATTATCCCAAGGAGTCTATGGAAAAGTTATCCCAGCCTCCCACCACCACTGCCTTCCCATTCACTTAAAGACAGTCTCCATAACCCCATTGGAAGTACAGGGACAGTCTTAAAGTGGCAAAGCACCCTTCAAAGCAGCCCTCACCCTATAAGCAATCTTAAAAGCAAAGTTGAATGCAAAAATGGGTGGCTGCTTCAAAGGGGACTTTACAAAAGTGGCCTTTGAAGCAGCTGCTCCTTTTAAACACCAATGCTTAAAGGAGGCTAAGGGTGCTTCAAAGATCACTTTTGTAAAGGGCTGTAACACAACCTCATGCTCTTACTGGGCCTTGCCAAGTTTCTCTGTGCTTCTCTCTTAATTTTACCAGTCTCCACTCTGTGGACCATTGGCAGGCTTTCTGCCTCTTAACTGCTGATTGCATTTGGGTTCCTTAGTTTTGGAATTATTGAGGATTACTTCTGGTGCTTCGTTGGAATAAATTCTGTAGATGTTGTTGTTTAGTCGTTTAGTCGTGTCCGACTCTTCGTGACCCCATGGCCCAGAGCACGCCAGGCACTCCTGTCTTCCACTGCCTCCCGCAGTTTGGTCAAACTCATCCTGGTAGCTTCGAGAACACTATCCAACCATCTCGTCTTCTGTCGTCCCCTTCTCCTTGTGCCCTCCATCTTTCCCAACATCAGAGTCTTTTCCAGGGAGTCTTCTCTTCTCATGAGGTGGCCAAAGTACTGGAGCCTCAGCTTCTTTGGGGGGGGGGGGGGTCTAGCTTTTTTCTAGCTTGGATTTTCCTGTCTTATAGGGCAGACCTTTGAGGGCTGCCTACTGCTCCAAAAAGCAATTGCTGCTCATACCCACCGGCTTACAAAAAGGAAAAAAATAACAACAAATAATAAATATAAGTAAAACAGAATCAAATTAATTTAATATAAAAATAGCTTTACTTACCGGGATTAGGGATTTTGTTTAACTATAGAATTGGTAGTCCTGATTCTATACATAGGACTACATTATATTAATAATAATTAAAGTTTTTATTTTAATGCTTTGGGGATTATTTTGAATTCTCTTGTAAATAAATAAACTTATTAGTACTTGGTTTAATTTAATTGGGTTCTTGGTAACTGGATATACTGAAGAAATAGATGAATGAATTTATAATTATAGATAAATCAAATTCTGTTTCAAACCTGTTTGAACTGATTAATTGGCTTGGTCACTAGTTATATTGCGGAAATAAATATATATGAAGAAGAAGAAGAATATATGAATAACTTTTGAAAAGAATTACTTGAGTTATTGATTGGTGATGGTACTTTGTTTTTTGACACATTTGTAAATTTGTTTAAAAGTTTTACTGAATTCATAATCATTGTTTGTCATTATGTATTTTCTCAGTTGATGGAGCCTAACATTGCAACAATTAGCATGTGAGGGTCTGTGGATTTTTTGAGGTTAAAAAGGTATCCTCAAAATTATAAAATTGGGAACCAATGACCATTGTGTTGTGAACCACTCTAAAATCTACAGATGAAGGATGGTATACACATTTAATTAATTAATAATAATAATAATAATAATAATAATATTTATGAATGCCAGGTTTATAACTATCCACCTCAACACACACAACTAGCTAAAAAATTGTTTGTCATTTTGAATTTGGAGGCTAAGAGGAATGTTTTGTGATAGCTTAGTCGGTAGAGCATGAGACTCTTAATCTCAAAGTTGTGGGTTTGAGCCCCACATTGAACAAAATAATCCTGCATTCTTTCTTTTTCTTTGGCGATCACTTGTAGCTGAGTAAGATTGTCTTCCATGAGCACAGCCTTAACAGTGAGTCCGTAAGTTACTGTGGGGGCCAATTCTGGATCCATATGTCCTTCCATAGTGGAGACATAGGTTTCTGGGCGGGAGTTGATCACGGTGAGGGTTTGCCAAGCATGCCTTTCTCTTAGCACGTTTCTCCCTTTCGTCTTGAGTTTGAGCATCGTCAAAGCCCATGACACCTTTGGTAAAGGCTGTTCTCCAATTGGAGCGCTCACAGGCCAGTGTTTCCCAACTGTTGGTGTTTAGACTACATTTTTAAAATAGATTTGGTATGTTTGGCATGTCTTGTTTTGATTTCATGTAAGCTGCTCTGGGAGCCTTTTTGGTTGAAGAGTGAGGTACAAATGCTCTAAATAAATAAATTAATATCATACTTGGATCATGCAATGTGCATTATTTTTGCTAAGCTGTTGTGCTAAGATACTTACGGTGTAATGCTCATTTGTGTTATCAGTGCCTCTCCTACACTTTATTTTCTGCACAAATAATCAGATGAGAGAGAGAGGCTGAGTTATTCCTCCCTTGAGAAAAGGCCCCAAGACTTGACTTAAATTGCCAAAAGAGCTATGTCATTTCAGTGCCATTTAAAGTCTTGGCATGTTCCTGGAATTAATTACACACTTTGCAAAGATGTTATACATATGTTACTTACTGGAGCACCAAACATTAACAAATCCTGCAGCTTCTAGCATGTTACAAATGCAAGTTACATTTGGTTGAAGTTTCCCCCTATCTTGTCAATATTTTGAAACAACAAGTTCTGCTAGGAAATGTTTCATAACATCCAAGTCTGTAACAACACACTTGATAGCTTGCTGCAAATGACTGATAAAAGTAGTTTTGATTTTGATTAGTGGATTCAAAGATATCAGACCACAACAATGGATAATACCTTGAATTTAATGCTGAACTGTAATGCTAAACTTTATCAAGTGACCTTGTTGTGCTTGCCTTGAGATCTCGCAGACTTCTAGTAAATGGAGGAAAATTATGTGCAGTGTTATAACAGCAGAGTTTAGGAATCAACTGTAGGAGTCCAAGTCTGAGCAGATGCACTCATCTCCTTGCCTGGTACTGAGAGAACTAACTCCTGCCTGCATTGCTGTATTAGTGCTAAAAGGAAAACTTCAGCATGGCATGTGACCACTTTACAACTTATTATTTGGAAGAAAAGAAATAGTTCTGGGCCACTGGCCTGCCTGCTTTTTCTAGAATACAGCACTACAGGCCAAATGTGTACAGCGATACCTCAGGTTAAGTACTTAATTCGTTCCGGAGGTCCGTACTTAACCTGAAACTGTTCTTAACCTGAAGCACCACTTTAGCTAATGGGGCCTTCCGCTGCTGCCGTGCTGCCGCCACATGATTTCTGTTCTCATCCTGAAGCAAAGTTCTTAACCTGAAGCACTATTTCTGGGTTGGCGGAGTCTGTAACCTGAAGCGTATGTAACCTGAAGCGTATGTAACCCGAGGTACCACTGTACTTTGAAAAATTTGAGGAATTTAAGGCATCCTTTGAATTTTGCAATTTTTTAATATGTCAGGATGCTGTCAGCAGCTCCCAGCTAGTTGCCCAGGAAAGTAGAAAGATAAGGAAAAGTTTCTTACCGTCCTTTTTTATTTCAATATTACAGAGAGAGGCTATAGAACCCAGCCTCTTGGATAATGGCATTGTCCCGAGTGAATCTCCATCCCTCGTCTCTCCCTCTTCCTCATTCATTATTCTCATCATCTCCTCTACAGGTGCTGCTACCTGCCCTCTGTCTTTGAGCTCTTTGCTCTCCTACTTTTAAGGCTTGCCAGGTTCTGGGAGATGGAGGGTCTGGAATGCTTTCTAATGACAACGTGTCAGCCAGGTGTTTTTCTGGCTCTCCTATGATTTCCCAACTTTTCCCGTCATCTGCCTCTAAGCAGTGACCTTCCTCAAACCCCTGTTGTAAATCTATACTGTCTTCCTCTTCCTCCTCCCTGGAAGGGTCAGGATGGGAGGCAGTCTCCACCATTCCTCCTCTGCCCAGTCCCTGATATTATAGTATTTGTGGAACAAGTTTTGGTTCCTGTTCCTAGAGCGGCCTTACAGAGGCTGTTGGGCTACAACTGCCACCAGCATGTTCACAGTTGCTTTTTTTGTGACAGTTTAACATCTTTGCTTTTACCTTTTAAGCACATTGCAGTGCAGGATCCACAAATCAAAAGTCTATTCTGCTGTTCCTCAAGTTCATGTCCCCACAGCCACTATGGAGAGAAGGAAGCCTACATGGTCATGGTCTCATGGTCTCCCTCTCCCGACATACGGGTTCTTGCCTTCCTTTTCCTGGGGGCAAGCAAGGAGACAGGCTTTTGTACAGCTACCCATCTCTTCTAATAAGTGGAAGTTCCACTTCACAACCACACCATGTGGTTGTGAGGGCCTGACACCTTCTTTGTGTTTCTGCTGGTCCAGCAGCAATGTCAAGGTGGAGTCTGGTCCAGGAGACCATACGACATGGGACACAGCCAGGAGAGGGGTGCCACTGCCCAAGAGATTTTGCCACCTGACATGAACCACAAAATAGTACTTCCCTCCCTGGCAAGGAAGAATGGCTGGGTGAAGATCTACATCAAGAATAAGAGGGAAATAAAGATCTACATCAGGATCGGCTGCCCCTGTGGATCATGACACGAGACAGTCACCTCACCTGGGTTTTTTTGTGACTGGGTTTATCTCATTCTCTGTGGAGTAAAACATTTTTACGTTGTTGTTTACTTGCTGAATTTTTGTCCTTATATTTGTATTTTGTTCTTTTAATTCACGTGAACCACACAGCAAATGCATGCTGTTAGGCGACCTATATAAACATAGTAAATAAAACGAGTAACAGATAAAATAAATGGCATAATTCCCTGGTAGAAGTAAGATTAGACTTTATGACAACATAAACAGAGACCACTGGTGTGTTTCTTTCATCCAGCTTGATGTGCAGTTGAGACAGATTGAAGTAAGGTATCTTATTTCTGTTAACTTTCACTAAGTTATCCTGACTTAGCCTTTGGCTCCAGGTGTTTGCATTGTTGTCAAAGTAATTAACTTCATGAAGAATGGTGGTTCTAAGCACAAGCATTAAATGTATTGGACAGGCAAGGAGGGCCTTTAATTTTATTCAGATGGAATGACAGTAAATCTATATGTAACGTGATTCCTATCAAAAACCTGGATGTATTATCAATAATCCAAACTACGATGTAGTGGTTAAAACTATGAGTAGCAGACTTAAGGATCTTGTAATCAATATGTGCCTGGGACACTCTGTTGATTTATCACAAGAGATAATTGTTATAGGGAGGTTATAAATGTTTAAATAAGGTTCCTCTTTTAAATGTGTCAAGTATTTTAGGAAATTGCTTTGATGTATATTGAATGATGAGTCTTCCTTTTTGTTCTATAATGGAAGAGTTGCCCTACTTCATGATGTGATCCCTCTTGATTCACTTTGATATTAGTTAATGTTTGCTATCCTTCTTTGTGAAAGCTATATGAATAAATGATTCTGTTGTGATGGATGATGCTTCCTATTGGAGCTAAGCTATTAATGAAAACTTAGTTGTCAGACTTTACTAACTCAAGTTGTCCAGAACTCATCTATGTCCATTTTTATTATTTTACAAGCTTTACAAGCAATGTTTTCAGCCCACCCGTCAAACAGAATGACCAACGGCCACAATCTTGTCCTTATTCATAAGTCTCATGTGTGATGGCAGTAAGCAATAGCTGCATCACAACATCAGCAGACAAAGTCAGGTGCACAAAGGCATCCCAATATCGCATCTCTGTTCATGTCTCTTTCCCAGCCATGGTATCCAGAGATATTTGGGGTAAGAATAGCATTTTACAAATGAACAATTGTATTAGATATACATTATTAAAGAAACAGATAAAAGTTCCTGGAAGCTTTCAAGAGGGTTCCAGAATTTTCTTTAGTGTGTAGGAGTGGCACTCTAGGTTTGATTGATGTCAGCTGGAGGTGCAAATAAAGGGAGGAAGTTGTAGGCTGCAATTTCTGCACGAGGAAAACACACTCTCTCTCTCTCTCTCTCTCTCTCTCTCTCTCTCACACACACACACACACACACACACACACAGTCAGCATGCATGCTGACCACAAGGTTGGAAGTAAGACAATGGGTGCTGCTGATACTGTGAGTCAGGATTGTTAATTACTGGACTGAGATAATACAGTGCTGGAGAGATAGAGAAGGAATGTAAATAGCTGGTATATAATAGTAACAGGAATGCCTGCACAACCAGTCAAGCGATAAAGAAGCTCTTGACTGAATTTGAGTATGACTCCTGTTCTTGTCCTCTCCCTCCCGGGAAAGCTCTGCTACAAACAGTAAGAAGGCATTTTACCAAGGTGCCACCCCACAAGCAGAAAAGCGCAGCAGAAGTGTGTGGGCAGTAACCTCTAATAAATTACCCCTATTTCATCTGTGAACTATTGCAAAGTGTGAAGCTGGTGTCATATTTTATATGAATTGGTGCACTTAGAACACATTCTCATTTATGGGGAGGGGGGAATGAGCCAAACATTTTTTTACCAAACAACTTTTTAAAAAAAGTGTTAGACCACCAACTAAATAATTTGGTAGCTGGAGTGGGGTGCTTTCAAACATCCAGCTCTTGTATCAACATTTTCAAGGAACTGGAAATTATTCAAAATATGTAAGAGGTGGGGAATCAAGTTCTGCAGAAGCCTGAATACAAATACAGATATTCTAAAGTGGGTTTTTAAAATGAAATGTTGGTTAGGAATGAAGAAAAAAAATCTTGTTCATTTCAGCACTGCTTTTTTATGAATTCAGAAGAACAATATATTGAAACTCTGTTTTGCATTGAACAAAGCCAGCATCTGAAAGCCAGACATGAGTGCTCTGGCTGAAAATGATTA